CTCTACCTGGTCAAGTGGCTAGGCTATGAAGGGACCACGAGGAGACACAATGGCTCCTTGCCAGCGAACTCGATCACACCTCTGACCTTGTCGAAGCTTTCCACTCTCGGTACCCAGACAAGCCTGGTCCCAAAGCTCCTTAGGAACCTCGACTCCTCTCCCATCTCTCCTTTCTCTCCACTCCTCATTTCTGTTTTCATTTTTTTTTCTGTAAGTACAGCTCCCCTCACCTTACTAATTCTGGGCCTTCAAGGGTTCAGGCCTAAGAAGGGGATACTGTCATATCCATCCACGGCCATCATCTTCCACTACCTCCAACCCTTCCAGACTACCTCCGCTCCTTCTTCACTAACCTCGGAGCTCCCATATTCTGCAATCACCTCCACCTCCCTCGATGGTCACCACCCCCTCTTTTCAATATATTACCTACACCTCCCTAAGTATGGAGCCCTGAAGGCTTCTGGACAGCTCTGACATCCGCTAGCGCACTCCTGCCCCTGCTGGGCAATTCACTTGCTTGCCCTACAAGTCCACCTTCAGGCCTATCCCTCCTTTCCATTTCTGGGTTATCGCCTGCCATTCCGCTAACCCTGTAACCCGACTTGTCAGTAATATTCAGTTGGCTAATGTTTAAACTCCGTTAGCTCTGCTCCACTCGGTCCCACCATTCACAGGCCTGCCTCGATGTAACTATATATACTTAACTTGTAGATAGGTTACACTCCAGTGATAAAATCGACTAGAGTTGATCCCCCTTTAGTTCTCGTTGCCAGTAAGTAAATTAGGGCACAGACATGTAACTTGGCACAGCACTCCTGGTCTGAGTCACTGAGGCTGAAGCCCTCCGCTATGGAGACAACTCCCTTTGTCTTGTTCCGGTCTTTAACAGACCTTGGGACTATGTTAGAACCGGGCAGATTCGGACGACTCTGGAGTGGAATTGGAGACTTAGCATGGAAGGACCTCGGCCTCAGCGACTCAGGTGGAGCGCTGTGCCATTGCTGGTTGTCCTGGGGGTCCCTAATTTCGGATCTAGCAGAGGGAAAGTCTCTTGGGGGAATTCAAGTCAATTTCGGACTGAGGTTACAAGTTATTAGGTACATTGTATATAAGGAGGGGTCCGGAATCAAAAGGAACAAGGGTAGGATGAAAGGAGACAAAGGGAGATGGAAAGAGGAGCAACACCGAGGGTCAAGTGTTTGACTCAATGGTGTTTCCCAAAGGAGGAATGAAGGGCCAAGGCCCAAGGAGGAAGGAAGGAGGATGGGAGTCGGGAATGGCTAGCTGACTGAATAGAAGGAAGCAGCAGCCCAAATAGGAATGAGGGAGAATAGCGGAATTGAAATGGACAATGCAATAGTTGCAAGGTCTGGAGTAAGTCCGGAAAGTCCGAACTCGGAGGTTAAACTCCGGAATATTGGCAAACGTAATTAAATGGAATGAGCTAACCAATACAATGGGTATAAGCAGAGGTGGGGTCAAAGTCCGAGGTCGGAGCTAAGACCGGAGGTTCCGGAGACGGAGACGCAAACAGGATTCCGGAGTGGAGGTCCGGAGTCGGGAGCATAGGTGTTACGTACTCGTCTGGAAGGTGTCGTGGTTGGGGTCGGACCCGGAATGTTCCGGAGTCGGACCGAAGGTGGTGTTGGAGCCGGAGGTGGGATAACCTCTTGGGAGTCGGCAAGGAGAAGGTGACGGAAGGGAAGTAGGGCTCCGGAGTTCATTTCGGGGTTCTGGGAGCCTGGAGCGGAGGTCGGGATTGTATGGATATGACAGACTAGAGCTTGAGTCCTTTGAAGTCCATGTTCTGTTCTTCCACTCCACAGATGGATGTTAACAGGCCTATCGAAGGGGGCGATTTTTATTTTTATTTTTTGACTTGCCTCCCTCTTGGCTCTCTTCTAGCGAGACTGAGCTGAGCTGAGCAACATAGACTTGTACGAATTTTGAGATCCAGGCTGTGCAAGAACCTGTCAACCCAAGCACTAGGTACATGCGATACTCTGGGTGGATAAGTAGTCACACATTCTACATAGAGTTGATAGTTTTTAAGTGATGGGACCTGTGTAATCAGATGCTGGGTTTAACAGGCCATTCCCCCACATCCTCTGTGCCTCCCCGAGATTGTTCGATCTAGGCAACAGTACAGAACAAATTCCGCATGTCCCTGTCCCCTACTCAAGCGAGAATAATTATATATCCTAGCTCAGATTTCTCCATAGCCAGGACACAAGACGTGTTCTTGAGCAGGTGCCCCAGCATGCATGGACACAAGCTTGCTGCATACATTGGGATGCTGTGCTGCACATCTACCTGCAGCATGAAAGGAAACCGATGTGTGAGGCCAAGGCTCTTTTATGAAACAGAATGAGATCGATTCCGAGCCCTTCATTTCTTATGACATGGTCACCACAACTTTTAAAAAAAACCTAATGCACGTGAATTCTGGGTCGATCTGATGGCCTTCTTCAGTATTTGCCTGTTGGTGCTGCATTTCACGTTGAAGCCTCTTGAGACACTTCTTTTATTTGTTTAGGCATTATGATGCGACCACAGGGGCAGAGTCATGAAGATGACCTAGCAGTCAATCTCTCTTTCCAATAGCATAGTATCTCATCTTGACAGGTTTTCCTAAAATACTGATTGGGAAGCTTGCAAATTAGTTGGAAATACCATAAAGTTACCGCAATGTACAAGTCACAAATTTAGCAATCCCCAGTGTGACACTGTGTCCATTGCAAACCATGAACAAAACGCTGCATGTTCAGTCGGATTGGCCGAACTCCTATAACCGTGAGGGTACTGGGCCGGAATAGGCCAAGGCGATGCTCCGGTGGGACCCAAAAGAGAAGTAGCCCGTCTGTTGTAGTCATCCAACCATCACTACGAAGCAATGAGCCATCAGAAAACATCGGCGCCCCGTTACGCACATCGGCATTCTCCGAAATGGAGTCGGACAGGGCGAGAGAAGAGCGCGATGATCGAGATATACTGTCAGGCACCCCTGCCAAAGGCCGTGACGATCGAATCGTCTTGGCTGAGGCGATGTGGGTGCCATCGGGGGAGAGCACGGTCAATGGGGCCGAGCGCCCTTGCAAGGGCTCATTGATTGATGCAGCGTCCCAAATTTGGATTGTCTTGTCTTGGGAGCCTGAGGCAATGCGGGTGCAATCGGGAGAAAATGCAACCGACCAGACTGTGTTGGAGTGCCCTTGCAGACACTCGCCAATCGGTATACCTGAAATGACATCCCAGATTCGAACTGTCTTGTCAAAGGAGCCTGAGATGATGTAGGCGCTATTGGGAGAGAATGCAACTGAACAGACCCCAGCAGAGTGCCCTTGCAGAAGATTGCCGATTGGAGCACCTGACATGACATCCCAAATCCGAACTGTCTTGTCGAAGGAGCTGAGGCGATATAGGTGCCGTTGGGAGAGAATGCAACTGGGCAGACTTCAGCAGAGTGCCCTTGCAGTGGCTCGCCGATTGGCGCACCTGACACGGCATTCCAAATCCGAACTGTCTTGTCACCAGAGCCCCGAGTGCCATCAGGGGAGAATGCAACCGACCGAGCAGTGTGAGTGCCCTTGCAGAGGCCTACCGATTGGTGCACCTGACACTGCATCCCAAATTCGAATTGTCTTGTCAGATGAGCCTGAGATGATCCAGGTGCTGTTGGGAGAGAATGCAACTGACCAGACCTTTCCGGAATGCCCTTGCAGAGGCTCGCCAATTGTCGCACCTGACATGGCGTTCCAAATTCGAACCGTCTCGTCTTCAGAGCCTGAGACGATGCGAGTCGCCCATTGGAGCACCTGATGCGGAATCCCAAATTCGAATTGTGTTATCGGAAGAACCTGAGATGATGCGGGTGCCATCGGGAGAGAATGCAACCGAGTAGACCCAGCCAGAGTGCCCCCACAGAGACTCGCCGATTGGTGCACCTGACACAGCATCCCAAATCCGGACTGTCTTGTCGAAAGAGCCTGAGATGATGCGGGTGCTGTCGGGAGAGAATGCGAGTGACAGGACGAAGCCAGAGTGTCCTCTAAGTGTCTGACGAATCACAGGCCATCGCTTGGGAAGCCCTAATTGAACAGACAGAGTATTCTGGAATGCATTGCGCATGCATCGTAGAACAGCAGACTGAGAAGGTGAAAACGGCAAAGCTGAGAGATAGATGTGTGGCACGCTCTGACCGATTGGATACCCTAAGACGTTCACAAATGTATATGCCTCTGAGATGATTTCTTCGAGTCCCCGCCCGTAATTCTATGTAAGTAAATCAATCACTCGTTCCCATTGCACACGAGAAAAGTGGCCTGCCTTAGCCCAACTAGCCGCCTTCCTTAGAATAGAGGGTATCATAAACATGCGGTCCTTCACACTGAATACCTCAATCCAGTACAGGAACTGGCGATTGATGAAGTTCATAACCGCATCGACAAGGGGATGCGGACCTGGCTCTGACATAGATCCAAAATTCAAATGCTCTGCCCAGTATTCGCTTGCATACGTCAGCGCAGGCGTTATGGCCCGATCGATTCGCTGTTGAATTCCCTCGATTTCCCTGTTCCGGTAATAGGACGTCTCGATCCCGCAGATGTTAAATTTGAGATCTCGTTTCATCATCTGGAGACAGCCAGATGCAAGATCAAGGTGATGAACAGGTGTGTTTATGTGCCATTGCGGATCTTGACACCGTTTGGAGTCGCACAGAAAATCGGTAAAGGATGTATGTAAGACTTGAACAGGACGCCCGCGACCACCCTGCAACAGCGATTGCAACCGCGAGAGCACCACCTGGACCTTACCTAACTCCAGTCCTAGTAGCTGACTGAGCTGCCAATCTGTTAGCTGCTCACGAGCGACTACTATTGCACCGAGGATGGAATGTACAGCTTTGAGTTCGTTTTCGTCGTATGAGTCGAATGGATGAGTAAGAGCGACCCGATACAAATTGTCCAACCCAGCATGCGATGGGGCCTGTACTGATGCACTTAGCACCTTTTTTCAGGAAAGCCGGATTCAAGGAAGCGAATGGTTGTAGATGCCCAAATGAAAAGACCTCCGGACAGAGCGACAAGCTGCCGTATTACGGGGTCTCCTGGCCAATTGGATGACAGACCATGGCCTACGAAGGCATCAGCGCTGCAGGTAAGCCGTTGTTGGAAAAAGAGCTTGATGTCAGATGCTGTCGACTCATCCCCGATCGGCACGTCACGCACGTCAACACCCAGACGCGATAGGGCAGCATGAATGTCGGGTTCGTCCCGGCTGGCTATCAGGAACCGAAAGGTACTCGGAAGCCTTGCAAGGCTTTTAGAGAGTGCGCGAAGGAGCTTTGTCCTCGTCTCCATAGTACCACACTCATCAAGGGCATCAAGGACAATTACAATAGGGCCTAAATCAAGCTCTGCTGCGAGTTCGGCCAGAGGCGCCTCTAGAAGATGCTTGAATTGCATATCGAGGGTGGATGTAGTAATGTCGGGCAATTTTTCGATTTGTTCGGCCATTTTCACGGAAAAAGTGGGATTGAAACGAGCCAGCTGGAAGGCAAGAGTACGTATCACACGAAGGGGTTCACCATTAAGAGGGTCGTTCCGGTCCCAGAACAGAAAAGCGCCACGTCGGCGCAGCTGTGAGAAGTGTTGAGCAACCGTGTTGAGTATGGTACTCTTGCCGGATCCAGCCGGTCCACGAAGCCAGATGACATTATGACCGGGAGGCAGGCTAGGATCTGTCAGGGAATCGAGGAAGTTTTTCAAGATGTCTCAGGCAAGCATGTATCTCGATCTCCCGCATCCATGGTCGCAGGCTTCGGTGCCTCGATTTCAACTGCAAACCCTGAAGGTAAGTAATGTCCGGTGCACAGAAGGTGGAAGTCATCGCACCAAGTTTTTCCACGCCCCTGGATATTTGGACCGAGATGAATGCACTGTAAGATGTTACACCCATATGAAGGTCCTTGTTAGCACCCCCGAGAGGTTCAAGATCGTTTGGGAGGTGTTTGAGAATGTTTGGTGAACGAGTCGGCCTGGGCACATTGATTGTTCACTGAACTAACACAACCGACAACGAGCGGCCTACCTATGAGTCAACGGAACACATACTGCTTAATGAAAATTCCGCATTCCGTCATTTGGACAGAAATTCGGATGATGCTGGCTTCGAGGAGCCGAATTTTGTTTTTCAGCTCATCGACGGCATCGATGAACGAATAAAGGTCAGCCATAGACGCGACAAGACCGCAGAGTGCGTCGTCTCTCTAATCTGCCCTCGAACAGCCTGAAACAACCGCTCGAAATTGTCAGCGCACGGGTTTGCGCTATAATAACGACGAGTTCATACCTGGTACGCCGAACTCAAGACCTGTCAAACAATATTTGCGTAAGGATGGAGCTGCCCGACGGCGTCGCGCAAACTAAAGATATGTTACCGCGGAGCAATGCATACCTTGGCTGTTTTATCGACAAAATCCACCACAGTCTTGGTCTTGTCGACCACTTTGAGCACGCTGCCTAGATCTCGAACCGCAGCCGCTGAGTCAGTAGCGCCTCGAACCGGTTCGGGAATCTCGAGTGACGTAGGTAGGTCCTGGCAATGTCGTGTGCGGCTTGAGGAACTCGCTTCGTAGTGTCCAGCAACTGAACAATGAGCGAGCCTGCCTCTCGACCCCGTTCGTCATGAAGTGTTAGGGCAGTTCCTGCAGCAGTTTTAAATGAGACCACCCAACGAGGCAAGACTAAGGATAACCAGCTCACGTTGGTTATTTATCTAGCAACTTTTCCGTTGTGATGTGCGCAGAACGAAGTAGGATGGGACCGAACCATTTGCGGGAGTGCTTGAGATGAAAGGACAGAACAGAAGACAACTCCGCTGTTCTGAAGGTACGTACTTTAGCGGACTATCCAGGCTGACCTCCATTAATCGCAAAACCTACATAAATAAGTGCGACAAGTTGGGTTGTGTTTTGCCTCAGTTTTGTCAAGTTCATTTCCCGATATTACAGGCCTGACATAAAGCGATGGGCCCGGGGGTGCTTTCTTGACGTCTCCGGCCTTAATGACCACTTTGGAATGAGGGTGGATGGAACCACTAGAACGAAGGTGACGCACTAGCCAGGGAGTAAACGCGTTTGGAGTCTCCATGAGTTGTCATGTGGAACCACTGGATTTGGCTCAAATCAATTCATGGGCCGTCCCTCGGACCTGACAGCTCCGCTGGGCGGCTTAGGCGCTAGCTTTTTCAAATTCCCGTGGAAATTTTCCGCCCGGGACTAAATTCATTTTCGGACAAGGTCCTCCATTATTGCAAATTCTCAATAACCCAGGGTCCTCCAATTATTACTCAATATACTCTCATCCCACTTCCGGTAACGATCGAGAGTAGAAAGGATGCAGGCTTCCTCAATCCCACAATGCTTTCCATTCCACGGAGATCAGCGATCGTTCCAAACTGGCGGAGGTGACTGTCTTCGGTATTGTCATGAAATCGGACTACAGCAACCAGAAAAATGCAGCATTTAATGCGTGGAAGGAGCATGGTGCACGCGTTTGTCGTTCAACTGTCACTGTCACTGAGTCCTCGTCCTCACCGTAGCGCCTCAAAGTCAATTCCACCAAGTTCCAATTACACTTAGGGTTACCACTGAATCGTTACTTAAGGAACAAATTCTCACAAGTTATTACTCCCGTAATACAGTTGCTCGACGCTCCAGTTATATTCAGTTATTACCTTGCTTTCCCCATGGAAAGTCCTGGACATCTGGCACAACAATGTCGAACGGAGTCTCGATTGGGTACCTTCCGTCATATCACCTCCAGAGTCTCCAACAAGCACAAATGTCAATCCGAGGAGCCCCAGGGCACCTAATTATGTTTGGGAGTATCGGAAAGGAGTTGCTCCAAGTGATTGAGGCTTAGTAATTATCCCGGGTGCTGGAGCGTAAGCGTGAGTAATCCATGCCAATGCGAAGAAGCTCGGTGTGCAATCGGGGCTACGTCGGATGAAGAGTCCGAAGTCGTGTAATATTGAGTGGCTACAACGATGGTTCGGTATCTGAGAATGTTAATCCGAGGGGTCTTCAGTGCATCGGAAGGTGCGCCCCGGGCATGTGCTCCGTCTTCCACTTTCTGGTCGTATATATCTGGACATATTGACACGCTCAGCTGCCATTGCACAAAGCAGTGCTACTGGCCTTGGCCAGGGTGTTGGGATTGACGACACCATAATTCGTATTTTCATACTCTCGCTTTACCTCTGATCTAGCTTCTTTGCTGTTAAGATTAAAGAAAAAATCCGTCGAAGCGGGGTCGAAGATTTCGTTTGCGGATGGAGAATCGTCCGATGGTTTCAGACTTCCTCGGTGAATGATGAGATCGACGGAATGATTGGATGGAACTGAGTGCTCGGAGCTAGGGACAGGTGGAGGGAAGGCGCTCAAACGGGCTTGGATGTCGAGGAGGACTTCGGCTGCGCTCTGACCGCTTCCAACGACAGCGATACGGACTGGTCGGAAATCGGTACTCCCACTCCCAGTCGTAGTTGAGGGGCGTTTGAAGATGATGCCACTGAGGATATCATGCATAATGCCGTCGATGCGGTGCGCATATACTGAGGTGTGGATAATTCGACTGGGAGCTCTGACAGCAAGCGCAGATAGCGAGGGAGGTACTCTCGGTGTTCCTCCGGGCGCGATAACAAGATGCTTTCCTCTCCGGACGCGTTTTACGGGGTGTCCACTTTCGGAAAGCGAGGTTACTGAGACGACTAGGCCATCGCTTTGAATGCTCAGGACCCTCTCGCCGTAATGAACCAATACACCGGGCTCGCGGGCAACTTTTTCCGCAGCCCATATCAGATAGTCGGAATATTCACGTCGACTGGGGATGAAAGAGCCTCGGTTAATGAATGTGACGAGGCGATTGTGTTCGTGAAGGTAGGAGAGGAAAGTGTATGAAGAGGTTGGCGATCGTAGCATGGCTAGATCTTTTAGGAAGCTGTGGTCTGTAAATTTCGTCATGAATGGAGAAATAGGTTCACAAGACTCGCCTGATTTGCATGCTTGCGCCTGGCAGGAGCATGCCTGGATGCCACTGAAATGACGAGCTTTTTTCTATGAATGTTATGGTATCTAGGGGTAGCGGTTTTCCTCGTGCCTAATGCTTGGACTTTGGAGTGTGTATGATGTGTAAGAGTGCACTTCACATACGATATATGCGCGTTTCTTTTCAAGGAAAGCTATTGCAAGAGCCAGGGCGGCGGGGCCGAACCCTACGCAGACCAGATCGGAAATATGCCCATGACATTCAGTATCCGTCATGTCTCAGAGAGAAAGATCAACGTGAGGAATATTCCCGCTATTCCGTAGCAGTTTTCGTGATCTGTGCAAGATGTCCTCTAAAAGTATCTTCCGCGGACTTATCAGATAACGCCAGCGGAAATTTTAATTGATACATTATGTAATGGGACATTGTCAATCAGTTTACCGAGAAGAGTCCAATGCAAGTATTTCACATCGTAATATGTATTGTAGTTTAGCAATCTCGGTTCAAGAAATCGCCCCAGAACCGAACCACCCCTAGCTAGGCCACTACGAGTAATAACTCCTTTGCGCTCTTCGCTGCCAATTGAAGGGGCGGGTGCCTGAGAATTGCAACGAATATGTCCCTTGCATTCCAATCTCTCCCGAGCCATTATACCTGACCATTCCGAATGAAATGTCCATGATTCCCATGCGGTAGGCTGCCATTGAGATATCCCAATAAAGTCCGATAGTAAATCCAGTCGGAAGGTGGAAACAAAGGACGAACTGATGTATGTCTGTGCGATATGAGGCCAATTGCATGCACATGTGGAATGGCAGCCTCAACACCACGTTCTGTCGAATGCAACGATCGACAAGCAAACAGCTGGGTGAACGAATCGGGTCCCTCATTGCAAGCCAATAGCAAGCATTCCGGACGAATGGTGACTGCGCATGCGTATCGCAGACGCCTAATTCGCAGATCCAACAACAAACTGGGTCTGCAAATTGACAAGAAACAAGATGAGAGAACATGTCAGCGATGCAATCCTTCGAATGCACGACTGCTCCGATGACCCAATTACAGAATAAAACAGGAAATCCACCTGCCGGTATGCACGATTCAGCACGAGGTCAAGGTACGCGATTGTTGTACAACACCCAAACAGCGGTCGGCCCCGGCGGACCAAAATCGCCATATCTCAAAATTGTGTGGAGCCATCTGCCACCAGGTGCACAGGCATCGAGTGAACCCAAAAGTAAATGCAAAAGCGCGGAGTGAGAGATGTACAGAAGTTATGTGTGAAAGGCAAAAAAAAAAAAAAAACAGAACCAACAACTGCTCACTATGCCCAAAAATAACGGGCACCGATAGACTACAAGGATAATTTTCCAATGTAACAAAAATGGGTTATTTTATGATGGGAGGAGAAGGGGAAAGAGTGGTGAATGGCATATACGGTGGTCGGCATCGGTGACGTTGAGTGAAGGTTGTTCGGCTTGGGTGGCAACGGCAACGAAAACCCGCATTAGCAAAAGTGGCCCAACGAAGAGGAATGAGAACTGTGGGACGGCGGAACGTGCTGGCAAATCAGGGTTTCGGTGGATGTGCGGAAGGCCGAACCGACCACCACTGCCGTCGGCAATAGATCTAGAACCAGGAGCGAAGAGCGAAAACGTCACGAGTTC